GTAATAGCATAAAATTGTGAATAGCAAACAAAATTTTTAAACACCTATAACTCTTTTTATTTTATGTTATTAAATGCATTATTTCAATTAAATTTTTTGTTACATTTTAACAAATTCCTCTTATTTCACTTATAAACGTTTTTTATTATGGACGTGCGCGTTCACTTTTATTAATCTTTTATTTATTGATTATATCACTCTTATTATGTTTAAATGCGAATTAAAATATTTTTACTGTTTTATGCTGAAAAGTTGTTTCTGTTTTTATTTTTGAAGGTAAATGTACCTCAGTTGCACAGTTTTTCTTTTTTATAAAGGAAGATTTATAATGGATGAAAAATTATACAATTATATAATGTATCACACATAACTTTTGCGGTATGTTTAAATGTGTGATCTTATATGTGTAAGTAATTTTTTTTGAAGATTTCCTCGATTAATTTTAAAAAATCTTGATCTACTTCTTTCATACAAAGATACTTGTAACTATTAAAATTTTATTTGCTCTCTCTCTTTTTTAGGATATTTTTGCTAAATATCTAGAACATTATACAATTTCCTACAAAAAGTGATATTAGGTCGGAAAAAATAATATGTTATACGGATACTGGTGGGTTAATAAGTGTGTACGTTATCTAATTAAATATTCCTATGGACTCCCATTATATGTGTTCACAGACCCTGGTTTATTATTTTTGTATTAAAGTATACAAAACTGTTTAAAAAAAAAGTTTATTAGTGTTTTCTATGATTATAATGCCTATTTATAATCATTTAAAATAATATTATCATCAATTTTTTTTCTTTTTCTTTGTTTTTTAAATTTGTTACACTGTAATCTTGGTGCGCTTACACTTGTTACTAACAATATTATCACATTCTCTACAAGGCCCCTGAGCCCTTGTAGTATCAAAAATATAATTTTCTTTTTTTCTCTCTTTTTCCCTCTCTCGCTCTCCGATATAGATGCACATCTGATAGCTGAGTTTTTTTTATATCTCCTGCTTTGATCTATAATTTATACCTCCATTGGAGTTTTAATTGGCAGGTGCGTTTATCTTAGGAGCCTGGTAGGCTCTCACTTTGTGTTTGTTACTTCTGGACTCCTGGAGCTTGGAGCTGAAGCTTTTGTTATGCCGGCTCTGATGCCCTAATCTAGGAGTGCTATCTGACTAGATGCTGTATTATTCTTCACTCCTGGGAATATCTCTGACTGCTGTCTGCCGTTCTACCATCAGTGCTGGTGCTGTCTAGTGTGGGTGATAACTACGTTGTGCCTAATCCAAACTATATCTACCAGTTGATCGCTCATGGACGGGACCGAGCGCTTCTGTGGGCTCCTTGTATTCCCTGAAAATATTGAGCAGACAGGCACACATCTTTGTGTCCGATTTGCTGCTGGCGACGACGATGCCACCTGGCCTTGTTATTTGTGGTTGGCGAGTAACATTGTTTTTCTTTATTGGTTGGTTAAGTTATTGTCAGCACTTCAATAGGCTTTTTTATCACTAACGTTGTTGCTTACCTTACAGTAGTATTAGTGTAGCTTTCCTAGGCATGGCATAAGATAGTTAATACTATAATCGCAAAGAGGTGATTCTGTATAGAGCAAACTAACTTACAAATTCATCAGCGTTAGTTACGTTTCCTCTGTAAACAACTTGCTGGTAATTTTATTTAAAAATCATTCTGTCTTGTATGCTTATGTATTGTATATACTGGTTCATAAATTAATGATACTTTTTTAAATAAGTTAAATGTGTGCTTTATCTCTAATAGTCGCTCATCCGGAGCTACAGTATAGGCAGAAATCGCGTTTGTAGATCCGGTTAATTTAGGAATGACAAAATGTGAAAAGTGTAATAGACGTGGTGTTAATGCTTTATAGAATTCTTTGGTCTGTCATTAAGATTTCTACCCTGGCTGCATCTTGGCATACGCTACATTGTAAGAAAATTTGGGAATGCCCATTGACTGCTATATTGTCGTGTCAGTGGTTCCTACTGTTGTGCTATGAATAATACTGATGGTAATGTGGGTACATAGGGCACGATTTTCTCAAAATCAGCATCGTGTTTAAGTAGTTTTGATGTGGCTTGGGAACTAAAAAATGTTATTATGGCTGGCAATGAAAAAATACAGTTCTCACCGGTGCGAATTTTATTGCATAGTACACAGCAACAATATGTGTACCGGGTTAACATTGCAATGTCTCAGCCTACTACTTTCCTGCCTAATAGTTTTGCACATACCATGCTAATAGGGTCATATCTGCCACATTAGATGGAATTCACACCGTATAGAGTGAGAACTAATTGTGGGACAGAGTTTAATGTTAGGTACGCTTTTGGAAACATTAATGAGCCTGTATTGAGCTAGGACCGCGAAATACTGGCTGGTTAGGAGACCTTTAGTAGCAACCATATACTTGTGGCATTGTTTAAACTTATGTTAAAGAATAACTTAGGACTCAATATTTTTGCAAAACATTCGGTTTTGCTACAAATTAGAATTTATATGGTTGCACTCAAGGTAGATGAGTTAAACCGGTAAACAGTGTGAGCTTGGGTATTTAAGTATGAATTTATACTTTTATGAAATTATATGTCAAACAATATTCACTAATTCTGAGTACAAAAATATTTTCAGTAAAACAATATTGTGTACGAAGGTGGTGCAATTATAGTAGGAATGAGTATACCTACGTTAATTAGGTATGGCTTAAATTAATTTTGATACTTACTACATTAACGATTATAAACAATATATTACGGCACAATGAAAAATAAATAGTATGTAGGCTGGCTAGTACGAGACCGTGCGCTTTTATCGAACCTTCAGACAATTTCAAAACAACTCCATCTCATGCTCACATTTGTCACATACGCTTACACACTTATTCCTAGTCCATATTGAATACCTAAAATATAATTGTATCTAAAAAATTAAGAAAAACCATCCTGCAGTACCGCTTTTTTGAATAGAGTAGTATTACGTGCCAGGAAATGTCTCTTCAACACGCTCACCACACATAGGTTTTTTGGACAGGCATTATTAACAACAAAAATTCATGATAGCATAAAAAATACCCACGAAAAGTTGCAGATCGTTTAACTGTATCCTTTTTTACATACTTAATTTAAAAAAATCGCAATGTCATATGTAACCTTATGGACAAATCACGTAAAATTGCATTTATATGATCTGTAAAAATCTCCCAATTTTTTTGGTATGAAAGATTACTTTTAGAGAAACCTACTAAATTTTTAAATAGATTTACAGTTTATTTTTAAATAAAATTGGAAAGAGGGGACCAAGTATGCGTTAAAGCACGTATGTAAATATATCTACAAGTGAAAAACAATATCCAGCATTGCTGCATATATTTGCGCTCTTCTTACCTCTCTGAACTTTGTCCCTGGTTACTATGTGAAGAACGTCCTTAAGTCAAAAAATCACCTTAATAGTGACTTAAATGATCAACTTAAATGAATTAATATACAGTGATTAATAATTTACATCAAAAATAAGTTACGAACTACAAGATAACATGCAGTAATCAAATTTTTTTAATAGGAACCGCTCAAATTTTCATTTTTTTAGAATTGGTTTAAAGAAGAAAAAGTTCATAAAATTCCAAATGTGTGGTGTGATTTGGTGGCATTGTGTGATGCGGAGGGGACCGGAAGTATGGCAAAGGGGGTGGGCCGAAAGGAAAGTTACATCTTAAATCTACTTGTGTCACACTTTTTTCCGAGATCACCAACCTGAAGTCGTTGATTTACTTTCACACATAGTGTGCCTATAAAAGTTGAACTTTAAAAAGCAATAAATTGGATGTTCAAAGCTGAGAGTCATTGGTATTTTACTGGGTACTAACCACACCTTCTTTGACGCGTTCATAAATATTTTCGTAGGAAAAATGAGACCAAGTGTATATCCATAGAATTCGAGCCAGATCTCTAAAATAGTCTGACTAAAATTTGTCCCATCAGTCACTACCTATCCCAACATGTGCTATGTGGTCAGTACTATGTACCAACTGTAACCTAAACCGATGGATAAAGATAAAAAAACTATAACTGAAAAGTGCCTTTTTCTGCCAGATTAAAATTTATTTATTACCCAAAAATTCACTTCTAAAGAACATTGATATCCCCACACAAAAACAAAACCTGCTGAAACTCTGCCAATCGTTTTTTTACAATAATTTATCATAAAAATTAAAGTTATGGCAGAAAGTTTTTAGATCCAGTGCAGAGAGAAAACTGTCCTTTATTTTGTCAAAATTTAAAATCTGCATCGCTTATCTAACGCTGAACTACGATTAGAGCGCCAATTTTTTAGAAGTCGATTTCTGGGTAGTAAATTAATTGTAATCTTGCCGCAAATCGCTACAGTCTGTGATAACTTTTTATTCTCCATCCATCAGTTGAGGTTGCGGCCAGTATATAAATTGGCCTTATGGCACTTCTAAAATATCAACAAAACTCTTCGCCAAAATAAAATACGACAAACATTTTTGAATCTCCCCGAATTAGAAGGTCTCTCAATTCTAGTAGGCCCAAGGTTGAAGTATTAACTAGATTGTTTGAAACCTTGCAGTGTTGCAATTTTCGCATAAGTTTGGTCACAGCTGGTAATTTGAATGATAATTTATTGGAAACTGACTACTCCATTGATTTTTTTAATCTTACTTCTTAATACTCGTTGCTTTTGGTACCCTTCAGAGCCACTAATCATTTTGGTAACTCGTATCCATGACTTGATGTCATGATTGTTGACTCATCTGGCAAGTTAAGATATGTGGCCAAATCGCTTGCTTCATTTATAGTGGGTTATCATTATTAATATATTGATTACCGATGTGAGATGAAACTGCTGGGGAAATCGGTGCTGCGCTTTAGACACTTTATACACTTTCCGAGGGAATGTTTTCCGAGGCCTCATATAAGATGATGTCGGGTGCTGCTGAGTCACTAAATTCTGTGGATGTGAGTTTGTCTTTGTCTGTTTTGCGTGATGTTGTGGTTGAGCTTTTAGATACTTGTCTTATGGTAAAAAATTACGTAGACTGCTAGCACCACAGGTCACTGATAAAATACGTGCTCAATCTAAGCGAAGAGACGGATTGTATAAAACTTTCCGACAACTACGTTATCTGGGATTATTTTCTGAATATAAGGTTCTCCAGGTTCAGGTGAGGCTACTATTACGTGATCTCGAGAAAACTACCTTGGATATATACTTGGAAGCGCTGAAAATAAATTAAAATGCTGATGAATTCCTAATTACTTTAGCTTAACAGCAGCTACGGCTCAATTATCCCCTTATACTTTGTCCCCTACTGAACTTTTACATTACTGCGAGTCAGTTACGTGTGCACTCCCATCATGCAGTTCTCTACAGGTGAAATATATTTTTGCCTTGGCTTTCAGATTGAGTACTACGTTTAGTTTTTATTTGCTTACTGTCATTGAGATGCGACAGTCTCTTTTTCACTATAAACGCATTTGGGAGAGTCATATTAATGATGGCATATCCCTGTAGTACTTTGAAGGGACGTTATCAGCTTTAACCCAGTATCTGGTGCTTCTATATGTATAACGTATCCTGTATCTTATGTGTTGATCCTAATATCTGAAAATTATAGACAATAGTACCACTAAAAAGCCAGACCCAAAAAGTACTAGAAACTTTCCTCGTTGCGAATAAACAATATTTAGCAAACGCTTTGATTACCTTATTACGAAGCAGATCTATAATTATTTTGAGAAACGTAGTTTATTATCACCATCTTATTCAAGTTTTAGACGTGGTTATTGCACGCAGGCGGCTTTCCTCAGGATGTCAGATGATATTCGATAAACGTATGGTAAAATTGTCGGCCTATGTTAAATTTAAATGAGCCTCAAACACTATTAGTCATACGACCATACTGCAGTCACTAGTAGATATTAAATTTTCTGCGTCAGCAATTAAATGACTGCACTCTTACATTGATGATAGTTTTCAGACGATTCTGTGCTTAAGTGATGACTTATTGGAAGCCAGGTTGAGTACATCTAGTGTCCTAGAAAGTTCCTCGCTAGGCTCCATCCACTTATTGATTCTCACAAACGTGATCAACTTCTCTGAGCAGAACTATTCTATTTCTAAATGGTGATATTAAGGCACTAATAGGCCTTATATACTTTTGAGGGAAAGCAGTGTCTCCCTTTCAAGTAGTGTTACAAGTCTGGGTGTTGTTTTTAATAAGAATATGATTTGGAATGGGCACCTGATTTTTATTTGATTACAACTCATTTCGAGTACTGTTTTTTCACATACAATGTTCTGTTGGACTGCTTGGAGAGTAAGCTGTGATATTTAATGAACATTGTTGCGAAGTATATCTATCATTTGTGACAGGATGCGGCACTCCAGCCTTTCTATAAAATACTTGGATTGCGACGGTCATTGGTGTAGAGAAAGTAAGTTTTTAGCCGTAAAGATAAACCGCATTTTAACGACAGGTAAACCAGAATACTTGTGGAAATTTTTTCTTTGATACTGGAGAAATGCGTACATTGGCATGCTATGCGTTCTTCGCAGTAAACAATCCTGCTGCTACCTCAGCTGCGTATTAGCTATCCTTTACGTTATCAGCGTTAGGATTTTGGGACACACTGATGTTTCTATTGTTGACATAAGTAAAAGTATTTCATTGATTGATATTGTATTGATATACATACAAGCCTAAGTAATACGGAAATTGTAATTATAAATATAAATAGCTTGTTACTGAGATTGTCTTGCATGTTAAATTGACTCGCACAAGTGAAAATTAAATAAACTTCCGTGGTTAGATCATTGATTGTTCATTTTAATTCTACCTACCCTCTAGTCGCAAGACAGGATCGGCTTAATTGTGCAAACACATTTGTGTTAAAAAACTTCATTATTTAGCTTTAATTCATCTTGAAAATTGACAGTAAGTCTTGTATATAATGTGTCTTGTCAAAGTTGTTGATACTAATAGGTTTATAAACTGTCATATAAAGTATCGTGTTATATGAAACCTGATGTAAGTAACTAATTTTTACTATCTAAAAATAATAGATTTTGTAAACTTTTATGTAAATTCTGTAAAATCTCAAGTATGTAACTACAAACTTTGCTGTACGGGCAAAAGTAATCACCGTTGTTAGTTAATCAATATCCATCTCCATAAACCTTCTCTGAAACCCAGGTAAGACTCAACAAGGTAACACTGAATTTGCTAAGGTGATCTGATTTCCTGATGCCTACCTAGTGCATTTCCTGGTATTTTAGTGATACTTGGGTGGGACTTCGGCGGTACTTTAGCAGTATTTAAGAAACATAACTTTAGTGGCACTGCAGTGGCACTTGGGTCGTACTTAGATAACGGTTCTTTGGTGGTACTAGGGTAGTGAGACTTCAGCTGCTTTTGGGCGGCATTTGTGTAACTGCTCTTGGGTGATACTTGGGTGACACTAGGGTGATACTTGGATGACACTGCTGGGGTACTTGGGCAGGCCTTGTGTGGTACTTTAGTCGTTGTACATTAGTATCACTTGGTTGATACGTCGGTGGCTCTTAAGCTGTAGATATTGGGTGGTACTTCGGTGGTACTTGGGTGGCTTTTAGGTGGTACTTGAGTGGCACTTGTGTGGTGGTTCTTAGTCAGCACTTGTGTTGTGGAACTTTGGTGGCACTTATGTGGCGGTACGTTAGTGGTACTTTGTCAACTCTTAGCAGTGGTACTTTGGTGATATTTAAGCGGCACAAGTGTGACGGGTCTTGGGTGGCACTTGTGTGGCTGTCCTTGAGCGATACTTGGGCAGCACTTGAGTGGTACTTAAGGGGTGTCATATCAGTGGCAACGTGGCAGTACTTGGTCAGCACTTAAGCAGTGGTACTTGGTCGATACTTGAGTGGTGAGACTCCAGCTGCTCTTGAGTGCCACTTGTGTAGCTGCACTTTGGTGATATTTGTGTGACCCTTAGGTGGTACTTTGGTGGTACTTGAGAAGTGGCACTTCAGTGGCTCTTTAACAGTGCTTCTTTTGTGGGTCTTGATCGGCACTTAAGCAGCAGCACTTGGTTGGCACTTAAGCAGTGGTACGTAAGAGGCAGTTAAACGATTATTAGGCGGCTCTTAAGCAGTGGAACTTGGGTGGTTCTTTGGTGGCACTAAAGAAATAGTTGTTGGTTGGTACTTGAGGAGTGGTTCTTTGGTGGTACTTGGGCGGTACTTGTATGGCAGAATTTTGGCGATACTTCGGTGGTACTTGGGTGGCACTTGAAAAGGTGCACTTTAGTAGCACTTGGGTGGTTCTTTGGTTTCACTAATTATGGGGTACTTTTTTGGCCCTGAAGCCGCAGTACTTGGCCGTACTTGGGTGGTAGAACTTAGGTGGATTTAAAGTTTTTGTAGTCAGTAGCTTTTTGATTTTTCTCAAGTGGAACTGAATTTGCAATAGGTAGATTTTTGCCGAAACTTAAGTGATTTTTAGGTGGTTTGAAGATGTGTAGAATTGCTTCTTACGACTGTTTGCGAAAGCAATAAATATATCTCAGATCTTTGTAATTTAATTTTTAATAGAATTTTTTAAAGCAATTAATTTAATTTAGAAAACTCATCTTAGGTTTAAATAAACATTTGTTATATTGTATATAATATAAATTTTAATGGTCTTTTAGATTTCTTAAGCCATGACACCATTTTGTTAATGTTATTCGATAGTTTGCAAGGTCTTTATCACTGTCATTATTATTATTTTTGTTTTAGTATTTTGTAAGAATTTTGTTTGTTTTTAATTATCTTTTCTTATGCATATTAAGTTATAAACTTGTATGTATCTTACCAAACATGGTATTGTATACGTTTGTGAGTATCTTTGGAAATCCAACCTTGCCAGTAGTAGTTACATTCTTTAGGTCGTCTGGTTCAATGATTAACATTATCAATTTTTTCGCAGTGGACTTTTACTATTTATTCTTTAAGAATTGTTTTAAATTATCCTTGTTAATTTTTACTGAGCAATTTTCAAGCAGCTTCACCTACTATGTAATAGTACATTACATTACAAGGGAAGAAATTCACTGATCCACTTCCATCATTGAAGACGGCCATGAGTGGACCGTTAAGTACCTAATCTATACGATGTATCCTATTGCTTTGGCTGAAAATTCGTGGCTAATTAGCTATCAGAATTAATATAAATCTATGTAATCGTTGGTTATAGTAGATTGTGTTTAGGACAAAACTAAAGGGATTGATACATTTTCTATCATTTACGATCTGGGTGAAGCCAGGGTTGTTGGTTAGTGGATGACAACAGGCCCGTGAATTAAAATAAATAAGTTCCGACATGTACATGCTTCTTTGCAGCTTTACTTACTTAAAAAAAAAAATATTAATAAACGTAGCAAATGTATAATATACTTTATGTTAACACTATAGCTGCTACTCACTCTCTCTCTCTCTTCCTCTCTCTCTCTCTTTCTCTCTCTCCCTCTCTCTTTCTTTCCATATCTCTCTCTTTTACCTTCTTTTACTCTAGATTGGGATTAGTATCATAGAGCCTTCTCTTTGTTTGACAAAAGCTTATAAGGATATAGAAAAACTGACGGTGCTACAATCATAAATATTCTCTCACTGATTTAAAAATGTGCAACGATGTCGATCTTGATAGACTGAATTTACGTAGGTTGGAGCAATTAATTTTTTAACCTTAAGTCCTCTACACGATACAGGTGTCACATTAATAGGAAAAGAATTTTGGCTATCGTCTCTGTACACAGCCATCAAAACCCGATTTTTTGGGTGAAGTAGTAAGAAAAATAACTTTTCTACTTTAAGGCGTTTTTCGAGAGCTTTGGCCGTTGACCATGCCCTCGGTACGAAAAAAAGGATTTGCCGTATAAACGCCATCCAACCGGGCCCATGCTATATACCCTCAAGCCTTTATTTGTAGGTACATTGGGCCGCAAAACAGCCCTGGTGTCGATGACGCTTATGTAACCACTACTATATCTGTTAATCATGAGCAATTCTTACATTATTTTGTCCAACTTTATCACTACAGATATAAAAAAAAAAACATCCTTATCAGACGTTGAAGCATCTGTAATATAAATTGTGTTAATCAAGTTATTAAATATTTATCATTTAATAGTTATTATAATCATTTACACTCATAATAGTAAATAAAGAAATAGATGATCTGCCTAGATTTGGCCCGACAGAGGTTATTGGGTTATTGGTGTATACACTTTCGCTCAGGTGTACCATGCATCCATGGTAATAAAAATACTATTTTCTACCCCGAAGCGTGTTTTGAGACCTTTAGACGTTTACTGCATCATCGGTAAAAATATGATGACTCGACATTTGAACGTCATTTAACCGCAGCTACCTTATGGATCCTTTGGCCCTGCTTCTCCCTTGGGCCATAAATTAGTTCGTGATGGTAATTATGGGATGAAAAATAATACTTACAGCTAAACTTATTAGCTGAAATAATATACAAATATTATACGAAATACATGATATTATGATAAATATCAATACTTACATGTAAAAACAATTATTATTTTGTGTTGATTGCGTAGCCAGCATTGTTTTTGCGGTTAGTTCAGTGCGATTAAGTTTCTCAGCTTTAAAAATGCAACTTATCAGAATACAATATAGTCCACAGTATTAGTTGCATTAAAATAAGTGAATAAATATACTTTGCGCCAGATCATCTGTTATCGATTTTTTTCTCTTGGCTCCTTCTGTGAAGACAAGTTATCTAATAAAAATTGCTTATGTTATAATAAAAAAAAACATTACTTTACTTTGCTTCAGGTACGATAGTTGCACTTGTGTCCAAATTTACTTTTAATTTAAATAAGTATTGATTTCCATTCCTGGTACAGAGCCATCTGGATGAGCAGAAGTTTCACTAGGCAAGATAAACAGCTGTTGCAAGTATCATTTTTCATCTACAAATAAATATAAAAAATTAAAAGAAACAAACCAGGGGGTATAAATGGGTCATGGGACCCACGGTAAGAACGAAGTTCTTTAAACATGACATGAGTATAAAGACACACAATTTCTCAGGTAACAAGAGGGTCGCCAGAACCATAAGAAGAACGAAGCTCTATAAGAATA